CCCCCCCTACATGGGCGAGGGTTAATACTAAGGTTGTGTGATGCATGTTTTATGGCCAATTTTTCATTTCCAACTCAATGGTGTTGGTTATAAGACCATCAGGTACGGCTTAGGTCACTTTCTGGTGAAGTTCAGGCCAAGGTCAGGTCAAGGTCAGGCCAAAAAAGGTCAAATTTTAAAGTTGATAGTTTTGCATAAAATGGGTATTGATTCGATGCACCTCGTCACGGGGAGTCTAATGGTGGTCTTTGTTTTGCGCTACGGGGTCTAGAATTGCTAAAAATTGAGTTTGAAAATTTGACATCAATTTTGAACAGTTTTTTCGCTATAACTTCGCCAAAAAAAGAGGTATCAATCTCAAATTTGGTATGTGGATGGAAGGCGGTAAGGACTATCACATACCTATATTCCGGTTTTTGCGAAATTCAAAAAACTTTTTGGATTTTTCGATTATTATATCCAAAAAAAATATTTTTTGATTTTTGTGGGTCCAAATCCAAAAATTTCAAAAATCCGAGATAGCAGTTTTGTAGCCCTGTTGATTCTATAGCTTTTATGTCTTTATCATTTTTCTGTATTTGCAAAGCTATAGGCCTGACAGCTCTTCCCGCGAAACCCTTTTTTGGGTCGAAAACGGCAGAACATGACGTCACTCTGACGTCATTTCCGGCCAACCTATCATAGCCTTTGGAAATTTTTTGGTCACAATGTGTAAAATTGATGTCCGGGAGGGTACTGAACGTTTGGTGTCTGGTGACGATCGGCGCAGTGGTTCTGGAGATATATCGAAAAGTCTGGAGGGGGGGGGGCAAAAAATAGCCCCCCCCCCCACCAGGTCGCGGGTTAAAAGCTAAACTTAAAAACTTGACCCAAGGTCAAGGTCATGACGTGACTGGAAAAGATTGTGTTGCATATCATTTGATCAGTATCATTGACACATCCATCCAAGGTGTTCCCATCGCTCTAGCATATCGCTATCAAAATTTATTGTCCAAAAACTGCCAGAAACCTTTTATTATGGCCTGCAGAAATAAACTCAGTGACATGGGTGGAATTTTCCGATCAATGTATCATTTCCTACCGAATGTTTGAGAGCATAAAGTTCGTCCAAAAGAAGAGTATCTCAGGTAGGTATTGGCAAAACATCATGGGACTGAACACTGAATCGACGTCCAACTGAGATGCGCCTGGAACGAAAGTACCTCCCAGACCCGATGAGGCAGTCCACTCACCTTCCAGTTAGTTATATGGTCACTCATGTGAGCTGGGGGTTATGCCATCATTTGGGATCTAGACACATCTCGGCTTGCACCTGTTGTTTATTGCATTTAAGGGTAGTTGTCAGTCTGAGTTGAAAAACCTGATCTATAGGTAATTTGGACATTGTAATTATTTTGAAAATAGGTCACCACCAATAATCTTCGTTACTTTAATCAAAATGCTTCAGAAAATGTTACACCATTTTGATTTCGAATCACTGGTTCCGTAGTGGTGCCTCCCACTTGATGTCTATGGCGGGAGAAGACGGTGCAAGCCGATATGTGCCTGAATAAAGGAGTAATGGTCAATAAGATAATCATCATACCTACAGTTAGGCGCCTCATACGTTGTTCATCTTCAACATTCTTGTTCATGAGATAAGTGGTATTTGGGATAATAAATCACGTGTTGAAGTACGCTTTTTCGTGTCAGGTGCTAAACTTTTGAGGCGAAAGCGGATACTCTCAAAATTTCGAGTGGTTAAAGTTTCGCTTTTAAATCAAATTAATAGTTAACCTGAGCTACTACAAATTTTAAGTTATCGACGCTTGAAAACTGTGCCGTAATATGAAGTAATTGAATCAAAAAGAAGAAAAATCAACGAAAGAGAAACTAGCCGTTGAACCAAATACTCGGATTGAAGAGCAGCAGCCAGCATGTTGGACACCGTTTCCGCGCCATGACCATGGGCAGCTCGTGCTCCTGCCTGGGCGGCTGCTGCAGTCCTCTGCGCTCCAAGACGTGCATCCGCGTGGGTCCGCAGCCGCTACACCCTGCCGATCTGCCGCCCGAGGGGATATCCCAGCCGTTCCCCAACCCGTCACCGCAGGCGTCCAGGGTGTTCGTGGGCAAACGGCACGTGCACGGGCCGCGCCACTGCCGCTCGCCGTTCTGCGCCGCTGACCAGCGCCTCTACGGACTGCGAGTGCCGCTACAGGAGGGGGGCGGCGACTGAGGTCCCGGTGCCCCAGCGCCCTCAGCGGGGGCTGAGCTGCAGCAGAGGATCAGGCACACCGGACAGCCCGAGAGGGCCCGCTGACACCGGAGGACTTGTGTGTGACGTCTGAACCGCGGCCCATCCGCTACGTGACCGGGGTAGTGACTAGCGATGTAGCCGCGCAGTTTGGTAACTGATGACCGGTCGCGCTCGCCGACACATAATGCACGCCGGTGCTGATTGCCGCACCCCGGGATGAGCGGACAACCCGTCTGCCCGGTTCTCCCTGCACGAAGAGCGGTAATTGTGGACCGGTCTGTTTGTATCCGGCACCTGCTGTTGGAGGCGAGGCGAGGTAACAGCTCCAGCTCGCCACCCGGCCGGCTCATGGCCGCGAGGACTGTCCACTAAGCCCCCGTCCTCGCCGATCGCGTGTTCACATCCGCGCACGGCTTCTGAGAAGGCCGGGCGCCTCTCAGCCCGGCCGGGAGGGATGGAGCCGGCTGACCGGACCGGAGGGGACCGGCCGAGACCCGCCACGAGCCCGCCGCAGTGAAAGTCCTCTCCCGGCGGCGGCAGAGGCGCAGCGCCGTCCCTACCGCGACCTTGGCCCGTGGCCGAGCCTGGACCACGTTGACCGGACGTCGGGAGCCATACATATTCAGCTCACACCTCTCAGCGCCGGTCCGAGGCGGGCGGGGAATGTTCCGGGCCGGCTGCCCCGCCGCTGTGGTTCAGGGTGACGCATATCCGTCCTACCCTGTCACCGTATCAGGGCATCCAGGCGAGCGAAGGTGGAGAGCTGAGGCTGACGGGACATACGAGTGGGCATGTGGCCCTCCGGACACCAGACTGGATTCCTGAGTAGACGCTTGACCTGACCACCATGCGTCCGGACATCGGAATGGTGTTATACCGAAATGGAAAGCCCGTGCCGGTGTGAGCCGCACTTAAACACGGAGCATATATCGCAAAGCTCAGTTAATTTTCACGCTGGGCCGGTCCGTCAACCACCGACCAACGGCACCGTCCGACCTGGTCACGTGACTCCGGATGACCTCGACTGAGGAGAGGTCAACTATCTAATGGTCATGTGCTTACCCACCGCCATAACCTCGCGGGACCCACGGCATCTGGTGGACCACTGGAGTGGCTGCCGAGTCCCACCGGCACCAGAACTGGACACCGGCACTGGACCCGCCGACACTTGAACTGGACACCGGCACCTGGACCCGCCGACACCTCATTGCGTCACGGGGGCTGAAATCTGACACGACAGCTTACGGCCGCAAACCGGCGGGGGGTCCGGATTGGGGGATCCTCGGGCGACCGGCGACCTTCTGGGACTTTCGATCCGGACACCCGACTGCCGTCTTCTGCCAATGGGTCGGCGATGGAGGCCAAACAGCGTCCCGGTGCTTTTGCTCATAGCTATTTCCATCACCACGGATTATCAGTAGAAGGCCGAAGGACGAAGCCTGTTGTTTTGCAGATTCCTGGGACTGGTTTAGCGTACTGAGGAGTGCCCACGGCCATTTTTGTTTGTCAATCGCTGAAATCCTAAACCGGGAGGGACTTGCTTCGTGAATGGAGATATTCGCTCTTCGGAACTCATCCTCGTTTTTTGCTTAACTTTGGTGTGATTTATGCTCAAAAGGATTTAGCGGTACATGATCATTGCACGGTGCACACAATATGGCTGGTTTGCAAAAGTCAATAGTTTGCAATAGTTTGCAAATCGTCAAGTCTGTCTGCGGTCAACTTAAAAATCAAACAACGTTATTCAGCGTTTCATTTACATGATGCCGGATGAACTATCCCCCCTCATAGCCAGCCAAACAGTCGAATCGACCGTTGCACGACATTTGTTAAACGTTTGTTTTTTAAATTTTCATGCATCATCGCAGTCAATATATCAGTCTCAGTAATCCGAGTTGTTTTCGTGTGACATTTGAATTAGCTATCATAATCTGTTGTGCCATCTGCTATCAAAATCTACTATTTATAGTGCTACAGAGCGCTATATATAATGTCTAAATGTTTTCAGGCAAAGTAACATTCGTTGCTCATAAGATGATCGTTTACATGAAGAACCGTGCTTGTAATTAATTTGAGTTGAATCAGCTACAAATAGTGCGAAGGTCAACATATTATTTCAAGCCTTGTTCCAGGTCTTAGGTCTGTTGCAAGTCTGATCAACTGTGATCAAACCTATCAGTCTTTAGGTGCAAATATCCCCCATTAGCACTTTTGCACCTCCTGGAACCCTGAATTGCACCTCCTAAATGTACGAAAAATGCCTTATTTTCATATGTTATATTTGTCCTGAGCTCGTCTAGTGTGCTAAGCCCTTGTTTTAGCAAGCACGTATCCAATGTAATGCGGTATGAATACATGAATCTTATACCTAGGATGCTTGTGTAAAACTATTTGTCAGAGAGGCTCCTTTTCGATTAATTTATGATCAAGTGAAGTTTCCACGACGGGCTGTCTGGCGAATGCACCTAATTCTCACCAAATCTGCACCTAATCTACACCAAATGCGTACCAGATGGTTGCCGTGAAAACGGCTATAATTATGCTAAATGTTGAACTCTATTCTCTTATCGTTCCACTTTCGTGCATTTCCAAATTTTCAGCTTAATAATTTCACAATTCTTTTTTGAAACACTCTAAGCATCGTTTTCAGGCTAGTAATACGACGCAATTATGATAAGTAAGCTACCTCACGATGTTTTATTTTTCCACTAATATCTCATTTCTGGCCATAACATCACCCGCCGATGGACTCAAACACTTCCACCTTCTTCATTGTCTTTATTACAAAAGTTTCATCATGACATGTTCGTCTTAAAACAGCATTCGCTTGTCGGGGTGCACCTTTTCCCAATCATACCCTTAACAATATTCACATCAAGCCATCACACCCCAAAAAATGTTGGGCTCATGCCTGTCCGAATTAATTTGTTGAACTACAGGAAAACACGGAAAGTTATACGAAACGAATAACTAGGTTTAGGAGACGTCATTATCTTTATAGCTAAATATAGATCAACCAACTGGTAAGCAAAGTAAGGTTCTGCGACTCCTCCGTAACAAGAGAAATAAACCAGTACACGGACCCTCACGCACTCAGCAACAAGAGCAATTGTCGACACCAGCGCGCCACAACAAACACATTGAATCGATAAAAGGACCAAAGATGTGAACATTCGCTACCGTCATCAGTGACGTGCCGTGACCTCTGATGCGCAGAAAAGTACCAACAATCCTTCAACAACACTAATATGCTGCAGCAAGAATGTTGGAAGCTCCTTCGTGCAGTAGGTGTTCAACACACAACATATCCAGTTCACGGCACCTTTCAACCCATCACACGGGCGTCAATCATCTACTGATGCATCCATTCAACATTCAACCACATTCACCCTGGTCACAGACGTGCGGCAGCTACTGCAGCTGCGCTTCCAGCGCCTCCACGTCCTCCAGGGTCTCCAGCCGGCTCAGGACCTTGGTGCGCCTCTGTTCGTCCTCGGCGCGGGCGCGCTCGAAGATGTCGAACTTCTCGAAGAACTTGACGCTGGCGTAGTAGTCGCCGGACTCAGCGCACGGCAGGGCCAGCGCCTCATCGCGGCAGGTCAGCGTGCGCTGGTCGAACCGCGTGCCGTTGTTGCAGAAGAGGCTGTAGAAGAAAGAGGCGATGTTAGAAGATTGATAGGGATATTTATGCTAAATAGTGCTAACTTTATCAGCAACGAGCAATCCTTGGGAATATGCTCTTTGTTTAGAAGCGCACTTGAAAAAAATGGATAATCGTTTCACGTTTACAGCAAAGAGGTTGGTTTTTGGAACAGGCCCCCATTATGTCTGTACTCTGTACCCCTGTCGGCTGATAAAGCTTCTGTTTCGTTCTCAAATTGCCGTGTGGAGCACACAACAAATACCGACGGATTTATCACCACAGACAATCAGCGCTGATAGACGGTGGATGTGAGGTCTGATGGAATGATACATTACACACAGTCACACACAAACAACAATCACCGCCGGTTTCTTTGAAATAACAGGTTCCTATATCTGCGAAGAACAGGCATGCTAACAATCCTCGAGACCTCCGACGAAAGTGGCGCGTAATTGTCCGAGGGAGGGTGTGAGGCACCCGGCGCGGTGTAATCACAGTTGCAACACCGCCCGAGCGGCCGGCCGGCCGGCTTTGCGCCACACGCGCTCAATTATGCAGATGTACGCACGCGGGTATCCGAGACGCGCCCCTGACACGCGTCCCGGAGATACCACACGTCGAGAGTGTGTGTCTGCTACTGACGCTGAGCGGACCAGCCATTCAGAATTGCCCCATCGGATGGAGACCGGGTCGAGCCGCGTCCTCCAGAGTCGGGTCACGTCGCGGCGGGTCACAGACGGGCGACCCGGCCGGGTTTAACGACAGCACGCGCTCGTACATAGGCCGTCAATTAGCTGCTCCTCTGATTGGGGATAATGAGCCCGCCGCTGCAGACGTGGGGTTGGTTGGGACGTGCCGCGCGGACCGAATGGTGGCTGAGAGGTGACGCGTGGCGCTGCACGATACCTCTGGCGGCATGTGGACACTGGACAGCGGTCCTGCTTGGGGGATGTTCCGCTGTTCGTTACACGCCTGTGAATGGCGTCGAAACTGCACAGCGCTCCCAGTTTTGGCAGTGAGGCACATTTCACATGCCCCATTACCGGCCGAGTGCCGTTAACGCTGAAGAGTCGTGCTCCAACACTGTCGTTGGACATTGCTCCTACTAGCTTTCCATGAGCGATTACGGAAAGCTGAGCGAAAGATACCACATGACAGCTGCTAGCAGCATATCTCACCTGTGTTTGAGGTTCTGCGCGAAGCCGTCCGGGTGCACGATCGGGGTGCAGATGTGGAACACCTGGCAGTCGGCCTGCATGTCGGCGTAGTAACCGTACTCGCGGTCCTTACAACTGCCGGGCACAAGGAGACATGCATGGTCAGTCGGGGCTGCAGTTGGCAAACACACGGAGGTGTATACAGATTACGGCTGGTCGGGAATGTTACAGCGTCCGGCAGTGATCAATGGCAAATTCGCAATTCTAGCTTCAGCAACTAAAATGAAGACATTGTTACTACATACTGTAGCGGCACTAATGTACTGGGAAAGTTGATATAATAAAATGATAATTCAAATAATGGAAGCAATGCCCCATTTACGATCACATTCACAAGCCTACAGCTGAGCGAGCATCTCCCAATTGGCAGTACCGGGACACCATCGGGACTACCAGTATCGCGTCAATCAGTCCGTCCACCAGAGTGATCAGTCCATTCCGTCTCCGTCCACAGTCAGTCAGCCCGCCTGCCGCCGTCAGTCCTTTATAGTCGCCGTCAGTCCTTAGTCGTGCTGGTCGCGCCGCCCCGGTTGGTAGGCGGGGACGGGACCTGCACGCTCACCTCTGGGTCACCACTGGTTGAGCGTCACTAACATAACATGCTGCATGCGGTTAGGATGGTACACAACACGAAACTGTATTTAATTAACGTTGGACTGACAATAAAAATACAGCGGTTTATAACGCGTTAACAGTGTATATGTAAGGCTTCCATAAGGGGTCTTGCTTTAGCGTTTTATTTATTTACTTACTTATTTATTTTTTACTGAATGGAGATAATAGGTAAAACAACGCTGACAACTGGTATGGAGAAAAGTATCAAAAAATTTCACTGATTATGCGAAATAATAAAGTTGTAGCAAGAACACAATCTTGTGTTAATGCAAACCATTCTTTAGGGCGTCAGCAGGGACAATTGGTTTTCAAACAGAAAGCTCTCACGAAAACAACCTATGATCTCGCGGCTCCCAAACACAGTCCATATCTGATATCTATAACTTGCTAATGGTGCTATGTACTTACATATGATTGTTTTTATAGCCCTTCACCATTGTGAAGTGAATGATTCGGAAATGCCATGTGTTTGCATAGTTTGCAGCCACACAAAATCAATAATTGTACATTTATTTTCGGTAAATGGCAAATAATTCAGAGATGGTAATAACACGTTTCCGCACAGCTATTCTCCGAAATTGTGTAACCTTTCATTCAGCTGTGAACCAATGAAAAGAGGCCTGCCAAGAACGTCGATTCATGGCCTCACGCAGGCTCTTCCAGTCGGCAAACCTTGATTTCCTCACGCACTGAAACGGCCTCTGACGTTTTACGCCCGCCGATAGAAATTCGGCTCCGTTCGCTGACCTAGTACTGTGGAGCGTGTGAGTAGACAATTTTGCGAGATCCATAAAACAGGACGATCACGAAACATGTCAGCTGTAGCCCAGCTGACAAGATGGGATGAACGGGTGAACATTGCCGGGGTGAGCGGCTGAAATTCACTTGAAGATGCTTCGTGGCCTAGTTATGACGGCAGTGTTGTAGTTCTTATTGCTACCAAACACGCCAGCACCGAACGAGCTGACTCGCGTAAGTGATTTAGGAGACCTTTTAAACGTATATCTGCAGTCTGCACTCTCAACGCAGCTTCATAGCGCTATGATTAATCAGAATACATCCTTTATAGCAAATGAGGAGATGCAAAATGAGGAGATAAGAAAGCCTCTAACAAAACGATCGTGTAGCGCATCATTGAAATTGCCGGCTCGACCTGCGTCGCGTGCCACTCATTAAATACGAATGTGATTAATCAGTGAATGCTAATCACGTCTGCGCTCCGTCAGATTGTAATCAAATATCGTCTGCAGTAGTATCTCTAGCAATAACACTCGAACCAAAAGCATACACCCACTCATGCATCTCTGATGAGAAAAGCCACTCAGCGCCACACAACCACCGGTTGTTTGAATCGTTAAGTGCTTGTTGAATGCAAGGCATTTGAATTATTTGATTGTTTGGAATGAAATATGGCCAAGATATTTGGCATTGATGTGACCATGGCCCGTGGCCGAAAATTCATCTGAATCAAACAATACAAAAAAAATAAAAATGTAAAAGTTTAATTTTGTACGATCATTCAAAATAATTAGATAACCACCAATTTTAGCGAATCATTTCGCCAGGTAGCAGTATTGAAGAGCAATCGTTGACCCCTCTTCACTTCGACAGCCTGGCCATCGACAGGCTGTCAGGTCATCGATGACGAAACACCGTGAGTGGACCGATGGAACTGATGACGTCACTCAGGTGTGTGCTGACAGCACCTCACCCTCCCCCACAATGGCTGGTCGCTGCTGACCCAAAGCTGACACTAATGAGGAACATATAGAGTCGTGTAAAGACCAGTGATGTCAATTTCAGAAAACGTATGTCCAATGTCCGTCCAATGTCCAATACTTACGTAGACTGTCCGTCCAAAAATGTCCAAGCCAGCCATTTGTCCAAAGATGTCCGACATCTACGCAACAGTTTACACTCAACACCGTTATTTAATTTGCTTTTAATCTATCGTTACCAGCTCAAAAGTGGTAATCATATCGAAAGCTGAGCTTTCTGATAGCCAATCAATGCTAAACACCATTACTTTATAAAAATGTTGAGGTGTAGCAAGCGATTTTCCAAAGTTGTCCAAAGCCTGCTGCCATTGTCCAACCGAATTCCGAATTGGACATTGGACAAAATCGGAATTCCGAAGATTCAAGTTCCGATTGACACCACTAGTAAAGACCAGGCGCCCCCAACCCTGCATCTTAATGAATGACGCAGCATGCAGCTGCCCTGGACCTGTCTCCTATGTGAGGTGTTAATTTGAAATGTATGATCGAAGAGGCCTTACAGCATGCATAGTCAATGGATGTGAGTGGGCCAGGGCGGACAGGGCTACTATGGTCTATGACACCAAACAAGAGCAGAACATGTGGATCAAGAGGCCAGGTTTGCCACGGAAGGATTGCCTCACACTGGTTTCGGAATCGTGACGGCCTGATAAAGCTTTCGGGTGTGGTCCACATTAAATGCTCTGCGGCAGAGTGGTCCATTGGCAGTGTTCATAATGCGAGTCCAACACTTGAGGCACCGGGCGACACAGAGGCCGTTCGACATCTGCTACACGGCAGTGGGCGATGTCTCTAGTACAGACGGTTGGGCAACATTTGCCGGTCATGTGGGTCACCTGTGCGCATTCACTCGTGGCAGCTCCTCTTTTTGTTCCAGTGCAGTGTAAGAAAGTCCCCCACCCATCTGTATTCCGAGCACGAGTCATCAGCAAAGAACATTCTTTTGACTTGCAGTGGACATTGAATAAGAGACTCGGACGCAATTTCTATCAATCAGCTCCATATTTCCTTCCCAATTAAGCCTTTGTTTGCTTTTCCATGTTTCGAATTTTGACCATAAAGCCAAGCAGTCACTGCAAGCTGGGCGCAATGCTGAACTGACAAAACCATCTATGGACACTCAAATGTAAACACACCGTAATTTTTGAGCTCATACTGTTTTCTATTTTTTTTTATTCATCCATGTCTTTTCAGACATTTACTAATGATGCCGTTTGTATAGGTATGCATCCAGCTGTTAAACTAACTCCCTAGAATGAGCTCCTGAGTAATAGCATGGTCTGTGGTTGGAGGATAATGCGACAAGGAATGTTCAAATGTCGAATGCCAACCGCATTGCAGCGTGTTTCAAATATCGATACAAATACCAGTTAAAGTACCTACGAGAGAGCGGCGAATGACTGACATTCACTCCAGCCGTTTGTTTGTGTTGGGGTATGAAGCGCAGGCATCTCATCTTGTGAAGGCCTACCAGATTGAATAAAAAGGGGCATCGAGACGCCACTATGGCAGCTGAATAGGATGCCCGAGCTGTTTTTACTCGAAGGCGAGGATTTGGGAATGTAAATGAAGTGCCGAATGCAGAGTATCAGACAGAAATGCGCTCTAAGTCGTCGAACAACGCGGTTTCAGTGAAAGTGAATGCCTTTGAGCATTTAATTGGCAAAACAACAGGAGTCAAGGTTTGATACTGCAGATGTCTGAAATCTAACCATGCAGTTACCACCGTTTTTTCATCCGACGGTAAAAAAAAAAAAATAACGAGAAACAAGCCGTTGCAGAAGCGACCAGTTCTAACCGTGATAAAATCCCTTCCCGCTGAATTTGTTAGCATTGCTAGCAGCCGCCGTCTCGGTCACCTTAGCTGGGAGACAAATTACCATAAAATCCAGGAAGTGTCGACATCCGCCGCTTAGCTTTCACTTTCGTTGCAGAGCTGAGGACCAGCTCTGTGCTTTGCGCGTCTGAAGCTAGCCGGTACGCGACGTTTGCGGCGCTGAACACGCGGTGATGAGGCAACGGTCGAGGAGATTATACTGACCGCCGCTGCGGTGACGGTTCGGCGTCACCCGGCGGCTGCTGACGGTCACCTTGGGGCACCGGCCGGCCGGAGGGGCGCGCTCCGGAGCCCCCGGAGCAGCACTGAGCTCCCCGGAGCTCCCGGTGGAGCGAGTGGCGCGTGGCGAGGTGTGAGTGATCCTCCCGGCGTGCCGAGAGGATCCCGGCGCGGGAGCTCCTCAGAGGCAGGTACCGACCGGCACAGGCCAGTCGGCATCCCTGGTAGCGTTTGAGTAATGCCATTATGGCCCCTGGTCATCCGGGTTTTTCACGCCGGCTGTAAAAGTAACACGAGCGAATCTCGCCACTTTTGCAAAAACCGCATATCTTGCTCCAGAACGTGTTCGAGAGCGGCGACTGCGGAGAAACACCGCAGCATCTTCGTGTGGCTTTCCTGGCGCTAGAAACCTGCCTCAGACCACAGGACTCACCACTACCGCGAGTCGCATCCGCGTGCGGCTCATCCTCGCATGTGTCGAAACGGGCGGCGGGGTCGTGGTCATACAGGGCTCGTCCTTTGCATCGTATCCATTCTCCACCAGGTGACGTGTCTCCGAATTCCAGCGCGTTACCTCCTGTCTCCCGTGACGTATCTCCGTCTCGACTGAAGGTCCGATCCCGTTCGGAGATAGACCTCCAATGACGTAAGCTCATTCGTCGGTGGCTGCACGCGCCGACCCGATGGTGCGCGGAGCTATACCAATGGGCGGCCTCCGCGCCGGCCGCTGCCGAGCCGGGGCTCGACCGTTTCGGGATGGGTGTGTGACGAAATCACGACAGCTCGCTCCGCTGATACCTTACACGCACGCTGAGGTTCTGAAGAATTTAGGCTCGATCGCAATAATTAGGAATGATAAAAGGATGAATATTATTTTGACAGAGACGTTAGATTTCAACGAGCCGAGTGACAAGTATTTGAGCAGATGTTCAACGAGATATCTTTTTAGTACGATAAGCTTTGCTAATGCTAGTTCATTTTCAAGATTGGGGACAGCTTGAGAAAAAATGAGATGAATGGGCAAATGACAGGCTTCCTAACGGATCAATTTACAGCTATTTTGCTTGAAAACCGCTTCTTCTGCTGAAGTAAATTAAATGAAAATGACCCCTGAATGCTGATTGAAGCTTATAACTCTCGACATGATATTTCGTTTGTTAGAGACATTTATCAAGTTGAAATGATGAATGTTTCGTTCATACTTTCCAGCGGATGCCGCATTGTTATTACGCAACACGTCATGAGTTCCGAAAATATCGTGCGACAGTGTCAAATGAATGGAATCTGCTTCAAGTTTACAAGGGGACGGCTGTTCTGGAAACGTGTGAACCACTTTGTCGCCAACTATGAATGGGATCTTGGTCCATTGTCTTTACAAAGCCAAGGCCAACCGCCTGAAGCAAACTGTTACTCTGAGTGTCAACAAAAGTGACGTGCTTCCACCATTGAAACAGTATATGCTGCAAAATGGAACTAATTGATGCAGATAAGCGCGGGTATATCTTCCATTGTCAAGCTTCAATATACAAATGTCTCGGTGAAGACACAAAGAGGAATTTAGTGTGAACGAAATGTCAGTTGTAATATCGCATGCCTATAATTATCATGCTAGTGCGACGTTCATTTGAGACAGGATTTGAGACATGCTACTAAGACATGGATCATAAGGTTCACGCAGAAAAAGCTGCTCCTGCGCCGTATTACACTACCAACACCAGTCGGAGACCCTGGGATGATTTTACTGGACGGTTTATCACAATCTTATTCAACTAAGCGTGTCAGCCGTCACCTGTCAGTGTCACTAATTGTCAAGGTAATAAGCGTCGCGGTCTTTAATACGTCATAAGTGAATGTCGGTTTTACTATAAGCCGGTATTTTGACGGGTATCGTCATCATTCAGTCAGCAACTGTGCGATGCTGTATACTTATATTATCCGTCCTGTGAACGAAATCCTGTGAACCGACGGAGGAAGCGAACCTACACTTTGGACTTATCCACTTTGGACTTACTCATGCACACCCTGAGATCATGTACACAACTGGAACCTAAGGTAACAACAGACGCCCTGAGGTCATCTTCCTACAACCTGAGGTCACCCACATCCACCCCGCGGTCACCCACCTGAAGTCGGACGAGTGCATGTCACGCACGACCGTCTGCGAGCCACCAGGCAGTCGGCGGTGCAGCGAGTTGATGTCGCTCTCGCGTTCAGACTCCACGCGCGCCACCCGCCGCGAGGTGCCCGGGATCCTCTTCACGGCCGCCGCCGCCTCGTCGAACCTCGTCAGGGCCGGCGCCGGGGCCAGGTCGGCGGCCAGGGCAGGGATTGGGGCGGGAGCGGGAGCGCGGGCGGCCAGGGCGGGAGCGGGGGCGCGGGCGCGGGCCGGCTGACGGCGGATGGCGACCGGGGCGGCGGGAGCGGCGGTGGTGGGCCTGGTGGGTTTGGTGGGCTTCTCGGTGGTGACTGGAGCCGCCTCAGTGGTGGTGGTGATGGCAACGGGACGCGGGGCCGGCAGACGCACCACCTTCCTCCTCACTCCGCCGCGGCGCGTCGGCTTCGCGGACGCCGCCGCGGCAGAAGGCGAGACGACGGGCCGACGGGGGAAGAAGCGGCCCGCTCCCGAGCTCGACGGCCGGGCGGGGGCGCGAGCGGCGGGGGCGGGGGCGGCAGCCAAGGAGGGCGGCGGGAGGAGGCCGGAGATGTCCTGCGCGAACCGCCCGGCCAGCGCGGAGCGGCTGCTGGCAGTAGTGGTGGTGGTCGTGGTGGTGGTAGTGGTGGTGGTGCGGGGCCGGCTCTTCTCGTTGAAGGGATCCTCCAGGTCGACCTTGCCGGTCCTCTGCTCCTCCTCAGTCAGTTCACGCAGCAGGAAGAAGTTCTCGTCGACAATCAGGTTGGCGACGACGCGGAACGGCTTCTTGAAGTCGGCAATCGACTTTTGTTCGTTCTGCGCGGCGGCCAGCGCACAGAGCGCCAGCAGCGCAACTGGAAACAGAGACAATAGGTGTTAAACGGTTGCTTAAATGCAAAGTTATTACAAGGCAAAAGGCTTTATTTCTTTATTTATTTACATTATTCAGAGAGGCAGTGTCAAAATCGCAACCGATAAGCTCCTGTCTCGCACCGACGCTGATTTTTTTATCCCTTCCTAGTTCCTACCTCTTCGGTAAGCATCTCTTCGGCAACTTTCTCTTTGGCTTCTAAAGCTGCACAAGCAAGCACAAGTCACCGAAGGTTCTGCAACTATCCACACGGGTGTAGATATCTCTTGTGGTATATTTTATAGGCTTATTTTACTGTACAGAACACTCAATGGCAGTGATATCTCACTAGGTGATGAATATTTTCCTGTGGATTAGTGTCAGCCTCACGACCAGAGACCAAAATATTCAATTCTTCATAATCCGGGATTCAACAAGGCTTCAACACAAACAGCCATCAATATACCGGGTAGTCAACAAAGGTGTGATGATTAGATTCGGCACAGAGCTGTTCGATTAAAGAACTGCTTAGTTTTTTTTTGTGGCCTATCAAAACAATAGGTAAACATGCTTTTTCATCATCAACATTTCTATCCAGTATTATCATATAACTCAATGGCCGCTACCCTACCTCAGTCAGCATTTTTAGCACGGCGCGTCCACTCTCAGCATTGCGTCTCCCCACTCTCCTCCTTCAGCCATGCCGTTCCATACCGTCACCGTTTTACCAGCAGCTCCTGACCCGCCGTGCGCGGCAGGGTCCGGGGTCATTGCAAAACAGTTACTAACGAGCGAGCCGTGTCGCTGCACTCTCACTGACCGCCGCAGAGGAGAGCGTGCGGCCGTGTCGCCGTGATCACCGCACTGACCAGCCGGGAAACCGGTCGTTCTCTCTGAGACCGACCATTGACCAGGGCAGGTGGAGGATGGGATGCGGGAGTGAATTCTCGCCAAATTGATATCGATTTACGCAGCCAATTCAGTACGATGATACTCTTTAATGCGTTTCTGCGCATGAGAAGACCATTTTGTAGGTATGCCATTTTGCCATTATGTCATTTTGCAGCATGTTTTCGTTTGCTTTCTTGGCATGGCTGTAAAAACCAACTGCTACATGATCGGTTATTCTTTCATTGACTTTAATAGGAAAGTATAATCGAACTGTCGCATCAGTCTACCGTTGGGGTGATGAAACAATGTGGAATTCCACAATTCAATCAAAGGTTACGTCCTCCACGAAATTGAAGCGCTAAGCAGGCGGCCGCACCAATCACGCTCCCCACACCGGGACACCGGTACAGGATGTGTGTCAAAGACGTCACCGCTTCCTCCGACCTTTGAACAATTACGGGCTCCGAGGTCCTTCGCCGGCCGCCGCAGCCCATCATTTTCCCCGCCCGAGTACACATGATTGCCCCCTGCCGCCCGGTTGGCCGCCGGCGATGACCTTGACCCGGGCTCATCTGCCGCGCCCCTGGCGGCGGCCGGTGGAACTAGCGCCGCCGCGCCGGCTGACCCGCCGGTCACAGCTCGGTAGTTTTTGTGAGTGGCGTGTTGTCGCCATTCGCTGGGAGGGTGGGAGTATACACACGTCGGCGAGGCGGAGGGAGGGGTCGGAAGGAGGTGTTACACCGACTCATAACGACCGGTCACCGCTACAAAAACGGGTGTCGTCCGGCGAGGGGTGTTAGAAGCCGCCGACGGCACCGTAACAGGCGCAGGGGAGAGAGAGAGAAGGACGGAGAAGGTGAGGGGCGGACTTTCTACAGCGGAGAGCCTGTCGCGGACAAGAAGTTGTACTCGTGGATAGATGGATGCACACGGGGTGCATTTCTGATGTGGACAAGTTTGTGCAACAAGACAAATGGACTTCCCTTTGCGCAAGGGCCGCAGCCGGCCGCGCTCGGCAGAGCTGTTCATGGGAAGGTAATTCGGGGGACGCAGGGATGCCGGTCATTTGTCACGAGGTGACACGGTGATTCGCAGGTCACGCATTGTTCGGATGTCGCCGGAACGTCTGTCATCGTACATCATTTGTTCTGTCTCAGACGCAAATCATTAATTTGATCCGCACTCTGATAAACCTTGCTACTCTAGACGTTCAGTCATCTGCTCAGTGCTTAGATTAAACCCTCATTACCAAAAATGGTGCACAACCTATGCTCTGAAACAATTATTAGTTTATTTAGTTATGGCAATGAGTGATATCTAGGAGTATATGTTCTCATTGAAAATCAAGCTATATGCGATCAATGCCTGTTCAAAATGGCAAAAGCACGGAAATATTGAATGAGTACTGAATTAACATTTAGATTTAGATGTCACTCAAACATTCAGACATTGACGGTTTCATGCTGTTCGCCTCCCTCATTTGGACAACGATAATTATGCAGATCTGCTTTTTCAGACTGGTCGCCTGTAGGCCATTGAGTGCTGGGAGTGTTCGAAAAGCCGGACCCATGGCTAGGTACCGGACGCATATGTATTCCGATCATCCAAAGCCCACATCATCGCTCACGCCATCTTCCAGACTTCCGGTGGTTCCGTGCACCCCGTGAGACCGGCGCGGCGGCCCGTGCCGGTCCCGTGCCGATCCCGTGCCGATCCCGTGCCGGTCCCGTGCCGATGAGCCAGTTCCGCGCGGACGCTGCGGAGCGTGGGAATCCAGCGGAACCAGCGAGCTCGGTCAAGGTCGACACGGGGCGGGAAGCTGCCCGTCCGATACGGGACGGGAAGCAGCCCGTCCGACGCTAATTCATATACAGCTGATTGAGGCGTGTCGGGATCCTTCTTTAGTAGCAGGTTGAACAGGAGAAATAGTTATAGTAATTGATGATACCCAGCTCATGAAAGCCAGTAATGTATAAGGTAGATGAGTTTGATCTTCCTTGTCGCCGCAGTTATTTCATAATACCTAAAGTTAATGTATAGGGCGACATTAATTTGAAAATCAATACCCTTTCATGGCAATCATAGCCGATTAAATAGATTGGTGACATGTCTATTCTGGGAAAATAAGGAAGAACAACGCAGTAAAAATACGGTTTGTTCGGTAGCATTTCTCTAACAAATCGTCTGTGTATTTTACTCTTAGATTCGAAACGGCTTGTGTATTTTTACGGGGTTCATAGGTAAGTACTTATGTAATGACCTTTACCAAAACCTGTCTGTCTCCATTGCGTCAACTTTCAATTCTGTCAGTCAAATAGCACTTGAGGCAGATCTCTAACTTTTTACTTGCGGACACCGGTCACCACATTATCCGTTTGAACGAGCGGTCTTGGGATAGTAAGCACACCTATACACTTCATCCTGCGAGTTGGCCTTGGCCAGCAGAGGCATCACAAAACATCCTTGGATGGGCATCAACGTGCCTTCACGGGATAGCCGATGGCACATGTAAATATGTTTGCGGCTGTTCAGTGGCCATTTACGACACGATAAGCTAACGCTGTAGGTTATTGCTATGGTTATTGCTTAGAGTACATGGTGCTGGCTGGTGGTAATGTTAATAAATTATCATCGTTCACTGATGCATCTGTGATCTTTACGGAGACAGTAAAACAACTGCTCTAGAAAGTCGTACCGTGTAAGATATAATGCAAACGTTACATGGTTTTCTTGCTTGAGGTCCTAGTAAAAAATAAAAATGCTTTTTAGGATAATATTCTTTTAAATATGCTAAGAAGTACCAAATATTTTTGATTTTTTAGAAATATATTTGTCTACACATCAACGCGCACTCCGTTGGGGTGGGGGAGGGGAAGGGGGGGGGCAAGCGGCCTCCCCTGTCCTCTTTCCTCCATGTCTCTTGATCGAAGACTAGTAAACCCACAAAACTCTGTATAGTGTATATCCCTTACGGCATTAATTTTACACATGCTGAGAGAAGGAAAACATGGAGACCCAATTAGGATGACCGGAAGTGACGTCAGAGTGACGTTTTGTGTGGCCACTTTGGATGCGAAACATTGTTCTACGCCAATCGCTTTCAACAGCCCAGTTTTTAAACTTGCACCAATTTCTTAGCATGAGCTGATAGCCAACAATTAATTTTATCAGACTGTTATCTTGGATTTCCAAAATGTAAGTTTTGTTTTAACCCTAGAACACCTAGGGGGGGGTTGTATCAACCCCCCCCCCTGAGGTTTTTCAAAGTGCACGCTAAACGGCTTGTCGTAGCGGGCTGAAATTTTCAATACCCTCTGGGGCAACCTTTGCGCATCTTTTGCCGAAAAAAATTGATCGGGTCATGTCAGGTCACGGAGTTATGACGTCATAAGAGGTACAGCCTCCGGCCGACAGTTACCAAACGTGTGCGCCGAATCCCTAGGTTTTCTGCCGGTGATACCCACATTGTTTGATGGATCATGATGAAACTTCCCATGCATGTTGGGGCAAGCATTGGCTATCGTGTGGTGCAAGAAAATTGACCGGGTCAGGTCAGGTCACGGAGTTATGACGTCATAAGAGGAACAGCGTCCGGTACTATTTTTGAAAAGCGCCCGAACCACTATTTTGCTAATTCTTGTCACCTCAATGGGAATATGCAGCAATATTAGCTTCTATAGGGAGCAAATGGACCTCCCAAATCCGAAAATACAATCAGATTTCAAAAATTTAAATTTTGATTTTTCGAATTTCTGCCGCCGACTGTGACCTTGCCGACTTCCGGCGCTCCCAACGCGCCATTTTTAGAGCTAGGGAAACGAAATACATACCAAACGATAGAAAATTGATCAAGAAACACGATAGTGAAGGTTTCAAGTCGATATCTCTCACCGTTTTGCCGCAATCGCCGCGGAAAGTTGAAAAAAGTCTATTTTTCCGAAAAATTTGACCTTTGACCGGTCAAAAGTAGGTCAAATGTTGACCTAGGACCAAAAAATATACCACCAATCGCGAGATCTCGTTGAGAGCAATCCGTTGTTTTTTCCGCTAAGCTCTACGACCTTCCGTTTCGAAACGCCAGGGGGGGTCGTAACAACCCCCCCCCCCCCCCTGGTCGTTCGTGTTATGAGAAATGGCCTGGTCGTGCGAGGGTTAAAAAACATATGTCAAAAGTCAAAACTAGAAAAATACGCTTTTTTTGCAATGTTGATCCACATCTTTCGTTTTGTTTTTCAAGAAAAAAAAAACGGGATATTTAGGAAAAACACATACAGATGAATTACTCCGAAACATTTTAGGCCGACTTCTTTAAAAATGAAAAGCTATTCGCTTTTACATTTTTCAATAGGCGATTACCTATATCATCATTATCAAATTTAAACTGCAGCTTCCAGTACTTTTTTTGCCTCACAAGGACCAAAACAAACAGCGCAATTGTGTTCCTGAATTCAAACTGCATTCGATAGGCACATATTTTTTTGTCAATTTTGTCAAAAAAAAAAAAACTAGAAAATTTGCCTCTTTTGACCTGACCGTGACCTGACATTCATTTAAAACTGTTTAAATTGGATTCAAAGCGACAGTAGCCGTTTTCACGACAGTCATCTGGTACACATTTGGTGCACATCTGGTGCAGATTAGGTGCAGATTTGGTCGAATTAGGTTCAGCGTGCCTCTTAGTAGCTATCAGCTAGGGTTGCACTAATTGCTTATATGCCTGCTTTGTCATATTATCAGAGAGTATCATCGATTAAAATACTGAAATAGATTCATAAGATAACGATATTTGCTTTAAAAGAGATTAGGTGCACATTTGGTCAAATTAGGTGCAGTCGTCGGATAGCCCGTCGTGAAAACGGCTAGTATTGTTAAGCTCTATAGCCAAATTGGGCCGCAAAAAAAGGGGTCTCATGACGAACATACCTTAATAATTCCATGAGCTTTTATGCCCTAGCGTGCCCTAGTTTTGACCTGAAAGACGCCAAGTACAGACTTAGAACCTTAAGGGCATCTTCAGCGCTGCATTTAGTCGTGTGTAATTAAAAAATGATGTGGCTATAACTTGCCTAGCGACGTTCAGAGCCCGCAGCGTGAGCATGCCAAAATGTTGACAGTTTTTACTTTGACCTGACCTGCGACGTCATCAGTGCCCTGCAAGTAAAATTATTCGGGCTATCAACTAATAATTCATGTGCGAGGCCTTGAGATCATACTTGAATTTTGAGAATCGGCACGTAAATTTCCGTGACGAGATCTTTGGAGGGGGGGGGGGGACGGCCCCTCTAACGGATGGCAGGGTCCGGAAATAGCCTATGACGAACGGGGCGCGGGTTAAGCCTGAATTTAATCAACGTCCTAGCAGCTCCGTTTTTCACTGTAACAACGCAGAATTGGTTTGCAACACAGAAAAAAGATTGCTAATGAATGATGATAAATAGTTCATTGAGCCACCTAACTAGCAACAATGAAATGTTTTAGAAGACATAGGTCTACGAATATGTGACCATTTACTTTACCCAGCAATAGTACCAAAATAGAGCCTGGTCAGATTACGGTACCTAAAGAAAAATAGAAGAGGTCACATTTTTAAGTTCATTTTTTTACGAAGGAGGTGAGCCTGCAAAAATATGCAATAGGTATTCTGTAGTCCTTTTGTTTACTGATATCTTGCTGGCCAAGTTTCGCTAGGAAAAAACTTCAATTGGTATATGAGCGCAGTTTCAGCTCCATGTGCTAAATATGAATACATAAAATCAATTTGGGCTCTAAAAGGAATGTTCATAGTTATGAGCACTTCAAGCCTTGCAAACAGAACTGTTAATAATTTCCAGCAGCATCAGGCAACAGCATGTTTCTTGGAAACGACGTCGGTGAATTGATAGTAATAATTGGAATATATATTTTCAGGACCCTCGCAACGCACTCTCCGCAGACGCATCCTAACACGTGTGTCGAGGCACAACCGACTTCGGAGGCGTGGTGCCGGAGCTGCAGGTCAGCAAAGGTCATGTAGTTGGTACTAGATAATTGGCATGAAAAGTGCAATAACAAAGACAGTTGCAAACTTTGTACTTTACGTCTTCGTTTTATAAGTTTGGAGAGCATTTTCTATTTAGATAGCACGGTGGGCTATCCCCAGAAATTACTCGCCGTGAAAAATAAATGCTATAACGCTACTTAATTGCACCGAGCAGAAGTGTTTCCACATTCCACCACCCACTTGCACTAACCTAGTCGCAGTGTCACCATGGCTGAATGCTGGGGAGATGCGCTGGCGAATCCTTCTCGGGGAGACTCCGGGCCACGACTGCCTGGTGGCGGGTGGCGGCTCTGCTGACCGTCCCTGTGGCGCCCCTGCCTCAGTGAAAGGTCGTCCGGCGGCCGCCGCGGCAGCATCCTCCGCCGCCGGCCGGCAGAGAACCCTCCCCGGCGGCCGCAGAGAACCCTTCCCGGCGGCCGCAGAGAACCCTCCCCGGTGACCGCAGAAAACCCTCCCCGGCGGCCGCAGAGAACCCTCCCCGGCGGCCGCAGAGAACCCTCCCCGGCGGGCGCAGAGAACCCTCCCCGCCGGCCGCAGAGAACCCTCCCCGGCGGCCGCAGGGAACCCTCCCCGGCGGCCGCAGAGAACCCTCCCCGGCGGCCGCAGAGAACCCTCCCCGCCGGCCGCAGAGAACCCTCCCCGGCGGCCGCAGAGAACCCTCCGCCGCCGGCCGCAGAGAACCCTCCCCGGCGGGCGCAGAGAACCCTCCCCGCCGGCCGCAGAGAACCCTCCCTGCCGCGCCGGTTGTAGACGTCCCCCTTTCCGCAGGCTTCATAGGACCCTTCCCGCCAATCAAAGAGGACCAGATGAAGGAAAAGGTTCCTGCCATTTTCGTTTTACTCCGCCATGTGTTCTTCATTCCCACCTACACTTATGATTGAATGATTGGAGCTTTATAACTTATATTTACCAGCAAAAGTCAATAGATATAGGTGCTTGATACAAAAGATACAAAAGATATTAAAGTTACACCTAGATAGCTACTTCTAGTTAGCCTCAGCTGCTAGAATATATGGGCAGCTTCAGCTGCTTATAGCTATATAGTTCAGATGGATGGTAACCCATTATGATTACGCCATATTTGGTAAAAAAAAAATGTGGGTAGTCGCATACACGAATGCAATACAAGTTTAAGTGCGTAACCGGTTAAGGCTGCAAGCTTACAGCCAACCACTTTTTGCAGGATAATGACATGAGCTATTTCGATGATTGGAATTCCCCAGTGTTAGTGCTATCGTTGTAAGAACGTCAGGAGCGCTCCATCCATTGCCAGCGATAGGACGGTTATGCTTTCTAATTGGTTGTTGACAACTTTGATGTGCAATGACAAGAACTTAGTCGAAGGGAAGGAGATCCATAGATGACTTCGAGTGATGATAAAAGTGGAAGACATAACCTTCCTAATATCTCCAGCTCATTAATCACTCATCGGCTTTAAATGTGAGTTCATAACGTTCTTTATTCAGTGATCTGCCATTAATATGTTCAATCTGTAATGTGACAGTTACAGTGAAAAGAATATTAAAAGACTAAAATCTATCGGTAGATTAGATATATGTATGTACAGTTGTTGAGCAGTTGATAAACAGTTTGCTAAGCTAGCACAATCCATCAGAAACTAATTTCTACCATCAACGCACCTCAATTACATCACATCACTTATCTTAGCGGTAGATCCCTGATCAAATTGCCATCTCTTTCACTTGTCTGTTTTGGCACCATGCATCGGCTTCACTTTGCGGCAGAGGAAGACTGAGGACAGAGGACTGTCCTCTGCGCTGCTTGCCTTCTCAGTGAGATTCTTTAGGTACTTTACTGATCCCTCACATCATTGTTACGCAGTAAAGCTCAGGTTCATGACCTCCACATCTCCCGGGGGCCCCGCTCGCGATCCTTCTCAGGCTACGGGTGAGTCCGTGCGCCGTGGGAACTCGTCCTCTTTGATCGGTCATGAACCTTTCCAAGCCATTTTTGTTTTACATCCAGTCAGAAATGGTTGCTCGCCCCATGGCTTTATGTTTCTGCAGAGACCGGTATGACCGGGGCAGGGAGAGGAAGCTGCCAGAACTCATCCCCTCCCTGTCGTGCCAGCCAGCTGACGCTGCAAAACCGTCTGTCCTTACAAGGAATCTGATTGTTCACCACTGCTGGGTGGTATGCCAACGGCCATTGTGGGGTCTCGGAGGAACCAAGTTGCTTTGGTATGAACCCCATAAGAGGCCTTATATTATAAAATTACTTATGCTAATTGATCATAAATTTGGTATGATGCTCATTTAACCCTCGCATGTGTGCGGCGTTTTCCAGCTTCTAATGTGTAGGGGGGGGGGGGTCGGTTGGACCCCCCCCTTGCCGTTTGGCCCCTGATCGAGCTAGAGCTTCGCGGAAAAAACGAGCGTGTTGCCCGTGACGAGAGGAAGCCGATGATACCCAATTTTAAGGTCCTAGGTCATTGGTTGACCTTCCAGGTCAGGTCAATGACCCAAAGTCGGGAAAATCGGGACCTATTAGAAAGTCGTAAAGTGTGGCTGCTAAGGGGTTTTTCGGGGTGGTGATCACGAATATCGTGTTAGTTTTGATCACAGATGATGTCTTTAAGCATTTAGACCAGGTCGGGTCAGGTCAGGTCAGGTCAATCAGTAGGCGTCGTGACGGGTATTCGTAGTACGTGTCAACCGCCTCTGACAGCTTCGTAACATGTTACGAAGGCACCAAAACTACTTCGTAAATGTTCAAATGGTTGCTAAATTCGAATTCAGCTCCAAAAACTAGCCTGGAAACATGTAAAACTCGAAAAAGTGAACCGAGGTCACCCGAGGTCACCAAAGGTCAATGACCTGACCTGACCTTCAGGTGACCTTGACACCCACCCTAATGCATGGGAGCAACATCAAATCACATGTTTGAACGTTTGAAACCACGAAAAGCTTGCAAACGCGCGGCTAATGCGAGCCGACGTACGCCGAATCGCGATTCCGGCCAAACATGGTCTCGGAAAAGAGGTCACAGGTCAAAGGTCATTTGGGTCAGGGTCATGAAATTTTCAGGGTAGGTGTCAAATTGATCAATGCGAGGGTACTGAAAGTTTCGTCGCGATCGGCCGCTTTTTACGCGAGTTATTCGCGAAAAACCATGGGGGGGGGTCCATCCGACCCCCCCCCCTACACATGCGAGGGTTAATATTCGCTCAGCATGCTAACCACCACTGGCTTCTGCTCTTTGTTTTGTCCCTCCCAGGCACGTAGCTAGGATTTGGCCAAGGGAGGGGCGGAGGAATCCCGGGGGCCTCCTTTCTACAGAGGGCCTCCTCCCTAAAGGGGCCTCCTTTCTACAGAGGGTCTCATGCCTACATAATTACATATACAACATAATGCAGACTTTTGTTCAGCTTTCATATGGCCAGCGCACTGGTATGTTTCTTTATTCTTACCATACCTACGCATATCACAAGTCGCCGAGTGGCATGGTAACTGGCAAAAAAAAAAAAACTCGGGCGCCGGCGGCGGCGGCGGCGGCGGCGGCCGGACCGCAGCAGGAGGGGGAGGATCTGCGAGGAATGGGTGGATACTGGATGACGGTCAGAGTAACACTTGGTGTATTATCATATATCGTTCAAGCGCTTAACCGTACGCGTATTCCGGGCGGGCTCTGAAAGACTCTGAATCGGGCGGGGACCTTTTTGGCCCCCGTCAGAACTCGAAAAGCACGAATCGTAGCGACAAACGGCAACGGCGTTTGATAGTTCGTTGAACGACTTACAACTTTTGTAAACAACTTTTTTGGGCCAGGTCAATATTGAGGTCGCCAGAGGTCATAACAAATAACATGGTTTATAACGACCTACATAGATAGGTCAACTTCAAAATCTGACATAGGAAGACCTAGTCATGACCTTGACCTGAGGCCAAATTTTCAAGTTGACCTTTCAAGGTCAATTGATAGTCCATTCCACACGTCTTGACGAGAGGAGCACGATGCTGGTAAAGGGAAGTTAGTGCAAATTTTGAGACGAAAGTTATTGCCGAAAACTGGTTTCCGAACATATCGGCTATTTTGGCAGTTTTTGCGGCCACTGCAGGTAAAACCGTTGACGGCAAAACCGTTGACTGCACCCGGCATGATTTCTCTGAGCGCATTTATGCAAATAATTTGTCTACATAGGATAGGGCCTTCTGTTTGCAGAGGACCCCCTCCCCTGTCCCTTCCTACAGTGGGGGCGACGCAGTTGGGAGTCTATTCTGTACAGTTTCCTGAGTCTCTGAGTCTCTGAGAGAATCTCTCTATAGAGAGTAGCAGGGAACAGAAGCCAGAAGGTAATTTGCTTACAGTGGGCCTCCACTCTATGTACTTAATATACGACGCTGTCTTTGACTACCGGGGGCCTCCTGCCCACAGAGGGCCTCTTATCTACAGAGGGCTTCCTCTCTACAGATTGCCTCTTATCTACAGAGGGCCTCCTCTCTGCTGAGGGTGTCTTTCTCTCCAGAGGGCCTCCTTTACAGAGGGCATCCTCTCTACAGAGGGTCTCCTCTCTAGTCTCTACAGGGACCTCCTCTCTACAGAGGGCCTCCTATCTATGTAGTGCCTCCTCTTTTCAGAGTCTCGTCTCTACACAGGACCTCCTCTATACAGAGGACCTCATCTCTGCAAAGGGCCTCCTCTCTTCAGAGGGCCTTCACTCTACTGAGGGCCTCCTACCTACAGAGGACCTCCTTTCTACTGAGGGAGTCCTCCTCTACAGAGGGCATCCTCTCTTCAGACGATCTCCTCTCTACAGAGGGCCTCCTCTCTTCAAAGGGCCTTCTGATTTCAGACGGTTTCCTCTTTACAGAGGGCCTGCTCTCTACAGAGGGCCTCCTTTTTACAGAGTGCCTCTTTTTTACAGAGGGCCTCCTTTTTGCAGAGGGCCTCCTCTCTACAGGGGGTCTCCTCTCTAAGGGGGCCTCCTCTCTACACAGGGCCTCCTACCCACAGAGGGCCTCCTCTCTACTGAGGAGTCAAAGGGGCCCTAGCGGTCAGACACACACTAGCGGTTATTCACAGGAGATGAGAAGGGCCCTAGCTGTCACTTGTCAGGCTGGTCAGAGGGCCCTGATTGTTCTGACGTCATTTTTTAGATTCCCGCGTGAATTTCGTTCGCCTCCGACGTGATTTTGGCCAACGTGGGCCTTCGGCCCACGTTGGATTCAGGCCGAAAGGGTTCAGGCCAACGTGGGCCTTCGGCCCACGTTGGCCTGAATCCTTTCGGGGGGCCTCCTGAAAACCCCAAGGGAGGGGCGGGCGCCCCCTCCGCCCCCCCCTTGGCTACGTCCCTGGTCCCTCCCCTTTCGTTCTTCCCCTCTCCCCCTCTCTCTCTCCTTCTCTCTCTCTCTCTCTCTCTCTCTCTCTCTCTCTCTCTCTCTCTCTCTCTCTCTC